TGTCAGTCTGCCCCTGCTCTACACTACAGTAATCAGTGCTGGTCACCCTTAGTAATTTTCGCAATAACAATTTTGTTAAAACAGAAGATTTCTCTTGGTCTGCAGCTTCTATATATGAGTAGATGTTAATCATTACCAGTGGGGAAAATAATTATTTGATCCCCTGCAGTTTTTGTAAGTTTGCCCACTTACAAAGAAATGGTCTATCATTTTTATCATAGGTGTATTTTAAATGATAGAGACAGACTATCAACCAAAAATCCAGAAAACACGATACAAATTATATAAATTGAGTTGCAGTTCAGTGAGTAAAATTAAGTATTTGATCCCCTACCAACCAACAATAATTCTGCTTCCCACAGACTGGCTATGTGCTCATGAGGTACACAGATTAGTCCTGTCAATTTAAGAAGGTGCTCCTAATGACAATTTGTTATGTGTATAAAAGACACCTGGCCACAGAATCACTTTCTTCCATTCACACCTCACCACCATGGGCAAGACCAAAGAGCTGATCAGGGAGAAGATTGTAGACATGCACAAGGCTGGAATGGGCTACAAGATCATCAGCAAGAAGCTTGGTGAGAAGGAGACAACTGTTGGAGCAATTATTTGCAAATGGAAGAAATACAAAATAACCATCAATCACCCTCGGTCTGGAGCTTCATGCAGGATTTTCACCTCATGGGGTAATAATGATCATGAGAAAAGTGAGGGATCAGCCCAGAACTACATGGGAGGAGCTTGTGAATGATCTCAAGGCAGTTAGGACCACAGTCACCAAACAAACCATTGGTAACACAATACATCACCATCGATTTCAATTCTGCAGTGCCCACAAGGTCCCCCTCCTCAAGAAGACACATGTACAGGCCCATATGAAGTTTGCCAATGAACATCTAAATGATTCAGAGAAGGATTGGGAGAAGTGCTGTGGTCAGATGAGACCAAAATTTAGATCTTTGGCACTTTTGGAGGAAGCAAAATGCTGACTATGACCCTAAGAATATTAACCCTACAGTCGAGCACAGAGGTGGAAACATTATACTTTGAGGTTATTTCTCTGCTAAAGAAACAGGCCAACTTTTCTGCATTGAGGGACCAATGGATGGTGCCATGTATTGTAAAATCTTGGATGAGAACCTTTTTCCCTCAGCCAGAACATACATAAAAGATGGGTTGTGGATGGGTCTTCCAGCATGACACTGACCCAAAACATCCCACCAAGGCAACAAAGAAGCACATTAAGGTCATGGAGTGGCCTAGCCAGTCTCCAGACTTTAATCCTAGAGAAAATTTATGGAAGGAGCTGAAACTTCAAGTTGCCAAGCAACAATCAAGAAACCTTAAGGATTTAGAGAAGATCTGTAAGAAGAGTGGACCAAAATCCTTCCTGAGATGTGTGTACACCTGGTAACCAACTACCAGAATCGTCTTACCTCTGTACTTGCCAACAAGGGTTTCTTCACCAAGTACTAAGTCATGTTTTGCCTGGGAATCAAATACTTATTTTACTCACTGAACTGCAACTCAATTTATAACATTTGTATCATGTGCTTTTTCTGCATTTTTGGTTGATATTCTGTCTCTATCATTTAAACTATACCTATGATAAAAAAATTATAGGCCCTTCATTTCTTTGTAAGTGGGCAAGTTTACAAAATCTGCAGGGGACCAAATAATTATTTTCCCCACTGTATATACTGCAGTACAAGTTCAGGATCTGTGAATGAATAGACTGTGAGTCCCATCTGCCACTGCAACTCTTAAATCTCAGTGGCAATGGCACAAGTGTAGAGATATTTCTGCACTAGTAGTCCATTGATACTTCCTCCTGTCATAGATTTGTATCTTGTACAGACCTGCTGCTGAAGGAATATTCTGTGGGAGCCTAAGCATTCCATCTGTGATTCATTGATTAAAGTTGCAATGTTTTGTAGGCTCCAATGCAAACCACTTTTTAAAATAAATGTGGGTGCATTTATTATTATTTTTATTTTTTTGGCAAAAAAAGTGGAATTAGTCTTTAAAGCCCAGCTCCAATTAAGAGACCCTGTCACCAAACCATGTACATGTAGAATATTGTATGCATGTCATTTACCAGTAAAAGCCTCCCTTGTGTGGATATCCATAATACATGAGCTGATCATTGCCATCATCTTAGATGTGATGTTTGTAGCCCCAGCAGACCCAGAGCTGTCACTCCAGTGACTCTGTAAAGTATTACCCTTTTCTGATCTCATCAGCAGCTACATGAAAAGTTACGTAGAGAGCTAAGGGGAGGAGTGGAGTAGCTTGGCCAGCACAGACGGTAATTAGACACTCCAAGAAGAGGTGAGGGCCTTGTTGGGGAATTTACTTTTCCTAAAACAGTTAAATTTTTAGCATGTTCAACGGCACATTGAAAGTGAATAAAAAATTATTTAATGGTGGAAAAAACAGTGCAAGTACATATTTAAAATACTTGATATTTCTGTGAATCTACCTTCATTTTTTTTGCTGGCAGGGTTAATCAGTTACAGAAACTGTTTTTTTTTTGAGAAAGCACTGTGCCTAGCACACAACTTGTCAGTTTTCATCTTATATCTACATCCTGTATTTGAATATGGGAAGGACATCATTTAGCATCTCTGTGTGGGGTTCCTGTTTCTGGTATAATTGATCGCTTCGGTGGCGATGAGCTACATCAGCATCTAAGATGTAACTAAGGAGTGTGGAGTCTAGTCTCATCTGAGGTATGTGGAATTTTTTTTACAGTTTTTGTACTTCTTTTGTAAAAAAGGTTTAAAGTGTTACTAAACCCAGGACCCTGCATTCACTATATCCAGTCTTCCACAGTACACAGAACATGGAAATGCAATTCTTTTAGTAAATATAAACTGCTAAATATCTTTTCCCATCAGCAGTTAGAGCAGTCTTGTGACTCTTATCAGTGTCCAGCCGAGCACTGGTTACAGCTTGTAGGAGTAGTTTTCATTCTCCGCTGACTGTCCTATGAGGCAGTGAAGAGGCAAGATCACCAGCTGCAGAGCCTAGGAGGTGTCCATGGGGCATCTGCTGTCAGCTGTCCCTCCTCTACATTGAAGCCGTTGCTCGGAGCTGATCATGTGACCAGACCGGAGTGCCCTCAGAATAGGAAAGTATAGACATCTTTCCTTTCATATGGTTATAATAGACTTAGAATGGGGATGGGAGCAAGTTTAAGTATAGTTACAACTTGAGTGAACTTCCACCTTAAGCCGGTTTCTGTATCAAGGCATTGCCCACTCCTAAGCCTTTGCCCAAATAGAACACCCTAACAGAGTAGCTCCAAAGTTGTTAAATTGATGTGGGGACGCGGTGAATACCTTCAGCTACCATTGTGCCTTTGCTGGGTGTCCCGAGCATCCCTGCACCTTTAAGGAGGCATCTGCTCCCTCCAGGCACACCTGCCCTTAACCTATCCATTATTATATGTGCTCCAATTTGGAAGACTCTCAAAATTATAGGACTGCAGTACATTGGGGTGCCTTGACTTGGACACTACAACTTACACACACACACACGCGCGCGCGCGCAAAAAAAAACCTTTATGTGTTCCAACTTGGGAGACTCTCAAAATTATAGAGTTAGGACTACAGTACACTGGGGTGCCTTGACGTCTCCACTTCAGCTTACACATATTTGCATATGTGTGCAAACAAAACCCCTTATTTATAATGTGAATTTTTAGACAGGGTACATTTGGTTTTGTTGCAGACTGGCTGGTAGGTGAGCTGGGAATTTTTGTTTGTTTTTGACATGCTTTGCCCTTTCATGTGCTCCTTGCTTCAATGGCCAAGTATTGGTCGATGTGGTTGCCATTTGTTTGTATAACTGTTGAATTAAAGCAGGGATGCACTGGATACCTTCAGCTGCTATTGTGCCCTTGCTGGGTGTCTCGTGTGTCCCTGTACTTTTAGGGAGAGATGCGCTCCCTCCTGGCAAACCTACCCTCAACCTATCCATTACTATATGTGCTCCAACCTGGGAGACTCTCAAAATAATAGGACTGCAGTATACTGGGGTGCCAACAAAACCCCTTGTTTTTAACGTGACCTTTTAGACAGGGTCATTCAGTTAAAGGCTGGCAGGTAAGTGAGCTGGGAATTTTCGTTTCTTTTTGATATGTAGCTCCAAAAGGTAGGGCTTAGCTCAGATCAAGTCCTTAGCAAAAAAAATAAATAAATAAAAGTAGGCATTTTGGATACTAAATGTGATACCAGTAATCTTTTATGGTTTCACCTTTAAAAAAAATTCAAAATCAGATGTTATTATATACTGACCAGTTATCACTTACCAACAATTCAGCTTGTTCTCAGTAGCTCCCATTTTGACCAGCTATATGTAATGTTTCAGATAATGTACAGTCAGCCATATTTGAAATAATGCTTATTTTTAATAGTACACATTTAAAAAGTTAACTACAAAGATAGGCATATACAACAACAGGGAAGACTTTCAGAAAAAAATAAAAACATGCAAATTTTTGTAATGCTATATACTGCCATTTTGGTGTAGCTGCTTTTAGAGTAAAATAATTTAAATATACAATAGTCTTTATATCCCGAGCTGCAAGCAGTGGAAGAATCAGGCTGATGATGATAGAAGGGCTTCCTGCACAAGCAGCAAAATGATTCTACTAGTTGCTCTATGCCAGAGACTGATGACAATATCATCGATGTTCAACAATTTGCACTATGGTTTGTGCCTCTTTTATTTTTAGAGAATCATTTGTGCCTCTTTAGTGTGTTCACAGTCCAGAGTGCAGTACAGCGTCCTACAAGTTAAATATTTTGGTCCATTAGGTCACCTTTTAAAAATAAAAGTGTATTTAAAATTTATAGACAGCTTAAATGGGTTCAATGGAGAGGTTTGACTTTTGTAAATGTGACCATATTTTTCTTTTTTAATCCAAATCCACAAATGGCAAGTAAACATAAAAAATGATAGATGGGACACTTGGGATGGAAGTTCCATATTCACAAGCTTTCCACAGCGGTCACAGATGCAGGAGTGGAAGAGCGAGAGGTGGTGCTGGATGACCGTTCAACTGCTGGGCTAAGCAATATAGGGTCAGATGGTTTCGGCAGTAGGGAGCGGACCGGGGTTAGGGCCTTAGCTGGACCGTGTAGGCTCTGTCCGCAGATCCGGTGATGCTTCTCCCAGTCTTTGTGCTGACAAAACGATCCACAGTATCGAGCAATATTGCATCCGCTGCAAGTCTCACTTGCTTTACGACCGCAGTTCCAACAAGTCTGCAGAGATAAATAGTGAGTTATTGTAAGAGAGTCATATAGAGATGCAGAATGCTACACGTACAAAGGTGTTCACTTATCTTCACATACCAATCAATGTTTCTTGGTGCAACTGTCTATGCATGTATATCCTTTAAATTACAGCTACACTTTGATAAACCCCTTTCTCTAGCTCCCTGAGCTAATCCAACTTGAAACAACCTCACCCCAGTGCATAAGTACCCCAACGGCAGCCTTCTGCTGTACTTACATCCTCTATGCAGAAATTGAATGTAATGCTGCCTGTGCATGCAGCAGTAATACCCTATAGACTCAAATGGAGCCTCTCTCCCCCATGTAACAGTATAGCTCTATTCATGTTTTTTGAAAGTTATCATGAAAGCAACCCCAGAGGAGATTTTGGCATGGTGTATATAAACACTATGTTTGGCTGCTACTACTCCTGCCACCGAGCAGTAAGTATGCACCAGGATGGAAGGTTTCTAGGTTAGATTAGCTTAAAGGGCTATATAACTAGGTTTGGATCAAAAGTCTAGTTGCCCTTTAAAGCCAAACTCAAGGAAAGGCAAAAATTATCCTATACAATGTGGACAGCAAAGGGTTAATTGCTCATTTAGGCCTAGGTGATATGTTAAAGATTTCCTTAACCGATCCTCTTTGGTCCTAGACCGACCCCTATGGCATCTTTTCTCCCACACTCTAGCGGTCTAAGGTCTTGAAGTCATCAAGACCAATGCAGAGTCAATAGCTCTGCATTGGACATGATGATGCTGATGGACAGTCCACCACTGGAGCATGGGGGGAGCAGGATCAGGTAAGTGCTTCTATCCCCCCCAGGCTAAATGAGTAGTTAATCCTTGCAGTGTTGGCACAGCTCCACTTTAGGGGTTCATTTTCAAATTTGTTTGTCAAAGTAGTTGGACCTTAAAGAAAACCTGTAGAGATAGAAGAACAATGGCATGTAACAAACATGTTCCCCCAGCACAGATTTTCTTTAACGTACCCGATGGAGGGCAAAGCAACAGGCCCTTTTTAGTGTGGGTCTCCCCAACAGCACTTTCTTATCTACTCTTTACATTTCTATTCAGCCACCACCAGAATTGAAAGGCTATGGACTCCTCATATGAAGGAAATGTGACAGAGCCTGAAGGTAAACAGCTTCTTCTGTGCTCTTCATTTAGAAAACTGATAATGTGCTGGGAGTCCTGGGTATTACCACTCATTTCCTTTTGTGTTTCCCAGACAGGAAGTAAGGGGAAAAAGTCCCCAACAGGGCACACCAGGATTTTAACCTTTTTCTTAGTGTTATCCAAAAATGAAATATTGCAAAAAATTGCATTAGATATACTTTAAGATCTCTGGGAGAAATAGAGTTAACATTCAGGTCACTGTTCACTGGGTTGGAACAAACAGACCAATACTGTAGTGCTAAAAACACATTACAGCAGGTTAATGGCTCCCAAACTAGTCAATATGATAAAAGTGTACAGTAGGGCAGATTGGTTCATACCTCAGTTGATTCCTCCTGCTCATTCACTACAAGGAACGCGTCCTCTGCTGCTCTCCTCTTTGCATCTGCAATAGTCTGTTCCATCCTGGCCCTCTCTGATGCAATCATCTCAAATGCTTTCTGTTCGGCCTCAGATACGGCCTTCTGTACTTCAGACATGGCTTGCCTCTTCACCTCATTTACAGCCTCCTCTGGAAAAGAAGAGTGGAAAGTTACAGTACTTTGCAAGTTACTAGCTACGATGGATATGTCAAAACATTTTAGGATTCTCTCTTTGCAAGCTTTCAACATTTTTATTTAGTTGGAACAAAATAATATTACACATGGATGAGCAAGAGTTACAAATTGTGTATGTTCTTACATTCAAGGGAATGTCCACATTCTCAGAATTCCAATCAGATGGGGCTTACTTTAAAATATGGTGATAGGGTAGCATGGCCATGTCCAAATGTTTTTTGTAGCCACATTAAACAACTTACTAATTCCATGTGGCTCTCATCCAATTCCAGAATTTCTGTTACGCCTTACATGTGACCCTCAACCAATTCCAGAATTTCTGTTACGCCTTCCATGTGGCCCTCAACCAATTCTCCTTCCATGTGGCCCTTAACAAATACTCCTTCCATGCGGCAATCAGTTCCAGAATTTCTGTTACTCCTTCCATGTGGCCCTTAACCAATTCCAGAATTTCTGTTACTCTTTCCATTTGACCCTCAACCAATTTGGCCTTCAACCAATTCTCCTTCCATTTGGCCCTTAACCAGTTCCAGAATTTCTGTTACTCCTTCCATGTGGCCTTCAACCAATTCCAGAATTGCTGTTACTCCTACCATGTGGCCCTTAACCAATTTCAGAATTTCTGTTACTCCTTCCATTTAGCCCTCAACACCAATTCTCCTTCCATGTGGCCCTTAACAAATACTCCTTCCATGTGGCTCTCAACCAATTCCAGATTTTCTGTTAATCCTTACATGTGGCCCATAACCAATTACAGAATTCCTGTTACGCTGGATAATTGCAACTCCTTAAAATGACAATTGACTCTTCATGCACTGAAAATGACTTTGTCCTCTCTGGAGAGCTGAAAGGATCCCATTTTGAGTGCATGAAGAGTCAATTGTCATTTCAATGAGTTGCAATTAGCCAGCGTGTGCCTCTGCAGATTGTTGCTCCCAGAGCTAAAGCGAGTGCAGCTGGTTTATAATTTTACCAGCATGGAGCTCTGGTGAGTGTATTTAATTCATTTGGTGGTGGATTCTCACGGTGGTGTTTGGTCACACAACACAGAAGTTCATTACAAGAATTGCTGAAGAAGACTTATGTTTTCACTATTATTTTTATGGTAATGTTTGTTGGACATTGATTGATTTGTGTATTCACAGAGTTTAGTAGTCACGTTCTTTTGCATGGTATTGTTTTGCATGGTATTATTTAGTGCACCATTTCCATTTAATTATATTGCACTAATACAAATGTGTTTGGCTCACATATTAAGAGGTATATTATGATTGAGGAGTGCTGTCTTAAGTGATTCATTGTTTCACTCTTTCATGTAGACCTCAACTAATTTCAGAATTTAACAATTTTGTGTTAGATTTTGAAAAAACAGCTGATCTCTGCCTATTTTGATAAATTGATTTGTACAGGTGGCTCGCTGAGGTTGTCTGCAACACATGTGGATTTTTGGGCATGGACATACACTGGATTCTAGAGCTGTATGCCCAAATGTCCATATGAATGAGCCCTATTGATTTTAAATATATCACCACTCGGTGTCTCTAGAACAGTGGGCAGTTATTAAACCATGTGGCCAGACATCTACTAAAGCAATTCTGAGGCTTATTCACACCAAAGGAATCATCATGCATCATGCTGCATTTTCTAGCATAATGTAGAATGCATGTGCATAGGAAAATCTCTTCTTTTCATCCCCGATCCAACTAGGGGCCCCTTAACCACAATTCGTTGAATACATTGGTATAAGGTTTGGCATTTCTGTGCCTTGACCTGCACATCTCCATCCATTTTAATAATATGTAACTTAGGACTCATAAGTCATGTATTTAATTGTGGCTGCATAAAAACTTCTTACTGTTATCAAATTCATTTCAAAGCCTACCTGGAAGCAATGGCCATTCTGTAGTGGACCAACACACCCCTATTGAGTCACAGCTAGGAGTCCAATCAGCAATGAGTGTCGGTTTTGTGGATTAAAGAGCTGGGATTCAGTGGAGGGAGTGTTGGAGCGCTGCAGAGAGACCTCTGCTTACACACAAAAGCATCCCTTATCTGCTTCCGGTAAGTGGGGACTTTGGATCAGAGCTGAGCCTTTGTTATGAAGACGATAACCAAAAGACATGTAATTATAATTTTTATGCAGCAATGATTAAATTATATGTATACATTGGCAAGAAAAAGTATGGGGACCCCTTGGCATTAACTAATTTACTGCAGTCATTTGCTACAAAATGTGATCTGATCCTCATCTATTTCACAACAATAGACAAATGCAACGTCCTTAAAGTGTTACTAAACTCACAACAGTAAAATCAATCTGTATATGCAGTAAAGCATGCTTGTTATACTCATTGTGGAACTTAAGGGGTTAATCCTCTGCATTGCCAAAAAAAAGGCTTTTTGATCCTGTCTTCTCTGATCCTCCCCTTCTACAGTCCCCATTTCATCTCCTGATAAAACAGAGCCTTGGGGGTAAGCTGCACATGCTCAGTTTAGTGTGTACCACTAGAGAGGTTTTTATTTTTCTTTGGGAGGGTGCATGTGATAAGCACAGGGCCAATCAGCACTGTCCAAAGGGTCAGGGATCCTGCAACGTGAACAGTGAGAGGAGAATGAAAACTCTTCCTGCAAGCTTTAACCAATGCTCTGCTGGACACACCAATAGAGGTCACAAGGTTGCCATATACTGCTGATGAGAAAAGGTATTTAGCAATTTATATTTACTAAAATGCATTTCCATGTTCTGTGTGAGCCCGATATATTTAATGCAGGGTCCAGGGTATAGTAACAACTTAACCTGAGAACACACAAACAATTCTAATTTCTGAAAAATCATAGTGCTGGAAAAAAAAGTAAGTGAACCAATGGAGTTAATAGCTGGCTGAACCTTCTTTGGCAGCAATGACTTCAAGCTTTTGGAAGCTCTGGATCAGACCTATAAGAATATGTATGCATCATACATACTAGGGGGGAGTACAACTGAGGGAATCAATGGCAGAGAAGGATCTGGGAATCACAAGCTTAATAATGGCATGCAATGCCTAGCTGTGGTTCCCAAAGTGAGTAAAATCCTCTCTTGTATTAAAAGAGGTATAGACTCCAGAGAGAGATATCATTTCCCCCCCGGTACAAATCATTAATAACACCTCATCTGGAATATGCAGTTCAGTTTTGGGCACCAATTCACAAAAATAACACTGGGGAACTGGAGAAAGTACAGAGAAGGGCAATCAAACTGATACGAGGCATGGAGGAGCTCAGCTATGAGGAAAGATTAGAGGAACTGAATGTATTCTCTCTTGAGAGGAGGAGATTAAGGGGGGATATGATCTCCATGTATAATATATAAGGGGGGATGTGATCTCCATGTATAATATATAAGGGGGGATGTGATCTCCATGTATAATACATAAGGGGGGATATGATCTCCATGTATAATACATAAGGGGGGATATGATCACCATGTATAATACATAAGGGGGGATATGATCTCCATGTATAATACATAAGGGGGGATATGATCTCCATGTATAATACATAAGGGGGGGATATGATCTCCATGTATAAAACATAAGGGGGATATGATCTCCATGTATAATACATAAGGGGGATATGATCTCCATGTATAATACATAAGGGGGGATATGATCTCCATGTATAATACATAAGGGGGGATATGATCTCCATGTATAATACATAAGGGGGGGATATGATCTCCATGTATAATACATAAGGGGGGGATATGATCTCCATGTATAATACATAAGGGGGGGATATGATCTCCATGTATAATACATAAGGGGGGGATATGATCTCCATGTATAATACATAAGGGGGGGATATGATCTCCATGTATAATACATAAGGGGGGATATGATCTCCATGTATAATACATAAGGGGGATATGATCTCCATGTATAATACATAAGGGGGGATATGATCTCCATGTATAATACATAAGGGGGGATATGATCACCATGTATAATACATAAGGGGGGATATGATCTCCATGTATAATACATAAGGGGGATATGATCTCCATGTATAATACATAAGGGGGGATATGATCTCCATGTATAATACATAAGGGGGGATATGATCTCCATGTATAATACATAAGGGGGATATGATCACCATGTATAATACATAAGGGGGATATGATCACCATGTATAATACATAAGGGGGATATGATCACCATGTATAATACATAAGGGGGGATATGATCTCCATGTATAATACATAAGGGGGGATATGATCACCATGTATAATACATAAGGGGGATATGATCTCCATGTATAATACATAAGGGGGATATGATCTCCATGTATAATACATAAGGGGGGGATATGATCTCCATGTATAATACATAAGGGGGGATATGATCTCCATGTATAAATACATCAGTGGTTCATATAGTGAACTCGGTGTAGAGTTATTCACCCTGAGGTCATCACAGAGGACAAGGGGGCACTCTTTACGTCTGGAGGAAAAGAAATGTAATCTCCAAACACGGAAAGGTTTCTTCACAGTAAGATCTGTGACAATGTAGAATAGACTCCCTCAAGAGTTGGTTGTGGCCAGCTCAATGAATTGCTTTAAAAAAAGGCCTGGATTCTTTCTTGGATACACAGAATATAACTAGATATTAACATTTATAGTTAATGTTGATCCAGGGAATATCCGATCGCCTCTCGGGGGATCAGGAAGAAATTTTTTTTCCCCTGCAGGAGCAAATTGGATCATGCTTTGCTGGTTTGTTTGCCTTCCTCTGGATCAACTGTGGGTATAGGATTATAACCCTTTTCTTTTTATTTTTTTATGGTTGAACTGGATGGACTTTTGTCTTTTTTCAGTCAGACTAACTATGTAACTATGTAAGAACTACACAATGTTCAGGAGGAATTTTTGACCATTTGTCTTTGCAAACGTGCTTCAGCTAACACACATTTGTAGGATCTCTGGTGTGAATGGCTCTCTTGAGGTCATTCCACAGTATCTCTATGGAAATAAGTTCTGGACCCTAACTCTGGGTTACATACTTTTTCTTTCCACTGTATTTTGGATGGATCTTCAAGCTGAGTTTTAACTTACACCAAATGTACACATCTGGTGTGAACAACCCCCATGTGGCACTCATGTACCTGCTTTCCTCCAGATCTCATCAGTAACATAGCTTCCTCCTGTCCTTCTGCTACTAAAGTCCCTCTGAAGATCTGAAAGTAAAAATAAAATGTAAGTAAACTTAAAAAATCCCAACATGTTGATACTAAGTGGGGTCAGTGTCACAGGAAGCCTATCTATCTAACCTTTAATACAGAGGAACCCTGGAAATAAATTTCATGTCTTGGAGAACACCTGCCAAATTATTACATCTCTAGTGTGGCACATTTGCCTGGTCAGTAAGTTGTATATATAAGAATACATAAAAGAGTAAACAATGTAGTGTATCTAGCATGTTTGACACGCAGGGCAGATATTTGTATTTAACACTTCCCTGCATTTTTTCAGTAACAATCATGAAATGGAACAAATAATAATAAGGTCATAAAGAAACATCAATGCCCTTGCACCCTTTCATATTGGTAGTGAGTGGAAAAGTGCCTTCTTATATTGCTAGTTGGAGTTGTGGTTCCGTGCATTGGTGGTCAGTGGGAGAACAACACTATGACTCTGTTGACCAGTGGAGAAACTGGTTCCCTTACACGCAGCTAAAAAGATAATTGAAATCAGTGGTTATTGGGAGTTAGAAACTCTTCATTGCAAAAGAAACCCTAGCAACCTCTGAAGGAACCCCAGGGATCCATTGGACCCTGGTTGAGAAACCCTGCTCTAAAGAGTGTTCTAGATCTAACATGGAGAACTCCTTGTTGGATGTGTCTAGAAGAGCTTCGCAAGGTCTATGGATCTGTGTAAGTTGCTTTAAGGGCAGTCCACCAAAAGCGTTATTAGGTCAGTATGCAACCTGGTGTGTGATTCGTTCTGTAGCTCCTTATATGTTTTGAAATCTCCAACCCCAACCTCTATTAACCATATTTCCTCTCTTTGTTCCTGTCCACCTGGGAGTTTTGAGTGTTCCAACTCACCTTTGTGTGTTCCAGCTCCTTCTGTTGCATTCCATAATATAAAATTGATTCAAGAATCCAAATAAATGTAATAAAATTTCTGACAGACATAATACATTGGCGGCTGGATTAACTCTCCAGCAACTACAAAAAAAATTTAAATATAATTTTCAGGTGGAATGACCCTTTCAAAAAATCCACAGCTGAGTAATGGTTACATGGGGCCTACAGGTTTGACAGTGAAATGAGGTGGCGATCTTCAAGAAAAGTAGGATAAACAGTATTTTTGGATTCATAGAGAGAATACACTAAGACCATGATTTCATCAGGATGCTAATAGCACATAGAACACTCAACAGTGCACTTACAGCATGCATACATTTTAGACTATATTAACATATTCTAGCACTCTTTAGATGTTATTGGAGTTGCAGAATCTGGGGCATTGGCCACAATTTTCAAGTGCTGCAGGTTATAACACAAAATAAAGGTCACACTGTATACCTTTTTAGGTATAAAGCATATTTAATCCCAGGACTGTAGATAATTTTTTTTCTGGTGGGTCAGCTCTCAAACTGTAAGAACGACACAAGATGGTGCCTCTTGCACTGCTCAGTAAGGTTGGCTATGGGGGGGGGGGGGGGGGGTTTTTTGAAAGCTGTGGACCTAGGTGCAAAATCACAAGTTTCCTGCCTGTGAAGAAGAGAGTTCAGGGGTCAGTAGTAAGTGATGCAGAGTTCAGGGGTCAGTAGTAAGTGATGCAGAGTTCAGGGGTCAGTAGTAAGTGATGCAGAGTTCGGGTATCAGTAGTAAGTGATGCAGAGTTCGGGTATCAGTAGTAAGTGATGCAGAGTTCAGGGGCCAGTAGTAAGTGATGCAGAGTTCAGGGGTCAGTAGTAAGTGATGCAGAGTTCAGGTCAGTATCAGTAGTATCAGTAGTAAGTGATGCAGAGTTCAGGTATCAGTAGTAAGTGATGCAGAGTTCAGGTATCAGTAGTAAGTGTGTGTTTGGGGGGGGCATTTTTGAGAATAGTCATGGTTAGGCAGGAATACCACTGTAAGAACAAATGAAAGAAGAGAGGTGGAATGAGGGGGAGGTGGGTGGGAGTTGCTGTAATCTGGGGGGGGATTAGGTGGGGTGACAAGGAGGCGCAGTGATTCAGAAGGGATTGAGGGAGGTGCTATACCTGAAAAAAGTGAGGCAGTATGAGGTGGAGGAGAGGCAGTATGGGAGGGTGTGTGACATGGTATGGGAGATAGGTGAGGCGGCATGGAGGGTAGCTGAGGCAGTATGGGGGGTAGGTGAGGCAGTATGGGGGGTAGGTGAGGCAGTATGGGGGGTAGATGCCGTGGTGGTGGTGGTGGGGAGTAGGTAAGGCAATATGGGGGGGGTAGGTGAGACAGTACTGGGAAGGGGGGGGGTGAGGCAGTATGGGGGGGTAGATGCCGTGGTGGTGGGGAGTAGGTAAGGCAGTATGGGGGGTAGATAAGACAGTACTGGGAAGGGGGGGGGGGGGGTGAGGCAGTATGGGGGAGGTGAGGCAGTATGGGGGGAGGTGAGGCAGTATGGGGGCGAGGTGAGGCGGTATAGGCGGTAGGTGAGGCAGAATGTGGGGTAGGTGAGGTGAGGGTGAGGGGTGGATTGAGGTGAGGTGAGGTGAGAAGACACTTTTACAGGCAGCAGAACATTCACCTCAGTACCACTGGTCAGCCTAGAAAGTCTGCGTAGAGCCAGTTTCCTTCCTACAGCAATGACCATGTAGGTCTGGAGGAAGTTCCATACTTGCCCTCCACCTTCTCTGGATGTCAGAGCCTGGGGGTGGAGCAAGCATGTGAATAGTTAATAGGACCGCTGATGTCCTAGCAACCAATCATGTGCTTACCCCGCCCTATGCCCCAACATTCACTGAAGGAGGAGAGCAAGAACAGAGGAGTGGGAAGTCCTACTAGCACTGACGGTGGAGGCTGCTGCCGCTGATCCTATATTCTCCACAGATCTGATTGCTGAGGCTAAGCGGCGCGGCTCCATGCAGCAGCAGCAAGTAACTGACCATTAGGGCAAGGTGCTCTAGAGGGGGGGTTCAGACCACCCTAATCCCCCTCTATCTACGTCCCTGTACAAGCCTTCAGTTATTCCTCAATACATGTGAGAGAACTTTGGAGCAGATTTACTAAATCTGGAGAGTGCAAAATCTGGTGTAGCTCTGTAGAGAAACGAATCCACCTCCAGGTGTTATTGTCAAAGAATAAGTGAAGAAGCTGAAGATAGAAGTTGATTGGCTACCATGCACAGCTGCACCAGAATCCGAGTTCACCAGCTTTAGTAAGTCCCCCTGATGAGTCAAGGCTCAGACAACTAGTGATGTCACCAGAGATGTCCTCACCATTGGTACCAGATTCAGTACTGGTTGGACTGTGCTGCCTACTCGAGTGCTCGCTTCCTTTCCGGAGCTCTGAGGATTCGTTGTACCGCCTCTTCCAGTAATTCAGCTCCTCCCTGTCCGCTTCTTGATACCTATGTAACGCTGCCATAGAACGCCTTGTCTTTTCCACCATTTCCATTATACAGTTCAAGGCCTTTGGAAAAAAAAATAAGATGAAATGATTAAAAATGAAAAAGAGCTGACAGCAAACAGAAAATCTGGATTCTCAGGGCTTGTTCACAAGGGCGGCAACCCTTACAGCCCCTCCTAAAAGTGATCCACAGTGGACTGCTTTTCAAAGGATGGTTGACAAGTGGCTGGGAGGCAAATCTGTTGCCTTCTCACCACCTGTTTTAATCCTGAAGACCCACACTACTACTCCGCAAGCATCACACAAAGCTCCATGGAGGTTGTGGCGCAGCCCCATTAACTTAAGTGAAATGCATCTGGTGGCAGTACTGCCTGCTGAACATAAATGGGAGTATAATTTCTTGCATACAGTCCTGAGCAGCTGCATGTTCTGCTTTTGGTGGGAGGTCAGGGGGTGGTAAAATTGCAACTCAACTGCCTGTTTTTACTGCCCCCCAGCTGCCCATGTGAACAATGCCTTAATCTGCCAAACCTTGCACCTTTAAGATGGCTATACATGTTACAGTGTGATTGTACAAGCTCTTTTAGGTCTACCATTAACTGTGTTGTACGAGTACTTACCTAGTTGGGTGCAAACTGAACAGTTTGACAAGATAAGCTCTCAAATGAAATAGTGTATGTAAATCTAAAATATTTACTAAATAATCAGATTTTAATGTCTATGGTCAGCTTTATTTTTACCAAACAATATAGCTTGAGGGTCTACCTTAAAATTCCAAGCAGGCCACTGCACTGTATAGTTATTAGTAAATCTAAAGGATATTGTACAATGCTTGTCAGCTTTGGGGATCAGAAAAGTGTGTCCCAAACCAGGGGCGGACTGACCATTTGGAAACTCGGGCACTGCCCGAGGGCCCGGGGTCAGTAGGGGGCCCCAGGAGATGCTCCTGGTACCTTTTTCATAGGCTTTTTTGAGTTTGGGCAAGGACACAGGGGCCCCATGATCCCCTATTGCCCGGGGGCCCCATGAGTTGTCAGTCCACCCCTGTCCCAAACACTCTAGCCAAAACTACATATGCATTTTTTTAACAAGAAATACCTAAATCAGGAAACAAACACATTATTGCCACTAGGTGGAGCTGATGATGTATAAACTACATGTATTAGATAAAATATGGTAGTTTTTGTTCTTAGCGTGTGGATATTTGTCACATTAATGTTTTATACAAGGACTGTCATCAGACAGTGAAAAGATAGTCTTACATGGTCTAGAGTCTTCCATTCCTCCGCCCATTCTCTCTCAGTCAGCCTGTGATCAACGAGCTCTTCTTGGTAGCCATTGGTCAAATTGCCGTTAACCCCTGAGACCAAACATAGAGAGTTATATTATACCTAATCTCTGCCAATCCCAATCACACCAAACCCAATAACATTCAAGGAAACGGAATCTGCTTTCTAATCCTTTCCTTTTAATCCCCTAAAACTCCTGTCAGTGGCTAAGTGGTTAGCACTTCTGCCTAGCAGCACTAAGGTCGCTTGTTTGAATCCAACCATGGCACTATCTTCACAGAGTTTGCATGTTCTCTATGCACCTGGGTGGGTTTCCTCCCACTCTCCAAAGACATGCTGGTGGGTTCACTGACCCTAGTATGTGTATGTACAGTATGAAGCTCCTTGAGGGCAAGGACTGATGTGAATGTGATATATATGTGTAAATTAACAGCACTACCTGTAATAAATTATTAACACTTCCACACAGTTTTTTTTTTTTTTATTTATGCCTGTACCCCCATTCTTCACATCCTGTCTTTGTGACACCCATAGAATAAATTAGGAAAGCGGTTGACAAAAAGGGACTGGAAGGAAGAGACAGCAATAAAAATATTGGTAAAAGTTCAGCCCCCACTCAATTTTGTATATAAAGGGATGCTTCCCAATTTTTAGGGCAGGTGTCATCACACTATACTCAAAATAAACCAAAGAAGGAAGAACCGATGATAGACACCACCAAGGTACATCCCCACAAAAAGATATAAAAGATTTATTGCCAGGACAATTTGTATTAGAAAATATTAATTTAGATTTAGTGTTTTTTTATGCATTTTTGCTACATTTTTCATGTCAGTAAGCATGTATATATTTTTTACCAGCAAGATATGTCTTTGTGGTGTTTGTTTTCATCAGTTTTTTCTTTTTCGTTACATGTGGAAAAAAAACTTAGGCTCCAACACTTCACTGCTCTATTCTAAATAAATGAATCTTTTTGCTCCATTTGGGTTCAAAGATTTTCCCATTGGCACTTATTCTTCCCACAAAAAAATCAAGCTAAGATTATTCTCTGGCAGACACCAGTAAAGCAGGATTCTGCATCACTACTCTGTAGTCTGTAAAAACAAAATGGGTAACTAGGGGACCAAGGCGCTAAGTGAGAGCATTGTCTCCTTCCACCTCTAGAGGGAACTATGCATTTACATTTCCCACTTTGCTCCACTGATGGAATGACCCACAGGAATCACATAGTTCCCACCGTGTTGCTGGCATCACCCAGAGGGGCCATTTTCTTATGGTACTTAATTGGTTGCTTTGACCACAATATACTTTTTGTTCTCTTTATACTTTGTATAGATAGGCTGCCATGGCCTTTACTTACCGCCCACCGGATGATGGCGCTCTCTAACTTCTCTGTGTTCCCCGATCTTGCACAGTGGATCCCTGTACAGCTGTGATCCTGGGATATCATCCAATGTGTAGTGTTGTAGAGGAGGTGGGGTGGGGTGATACTGGTTAGAAGAATTCAAGATGGGCAAGGACAGGGCCGGGCTGTGACGGGGAGCAGGGCTAATAGTGCACACCCTCTTCATGGGTGGTTCAGGAGGTACAGGCTCCCTTTCAAACACGTTATCCTCTCTCCTGCAAAACAATACAGTTCAAAGTCAACAGATTGTCAACCAACAGAACATTTCAATCACATAATTATATGTATATTGATAATGGAGGTAACGCTCCCAGCACAGAAATGTTTATTATTATTATACAGTGTTTATATGGTGCCAAAAAGTTTGCTCAGCGCTGTACAATATAGTGGGGGACAGTACATGAGACAATACGTAACAAAACAGTATACGAGAGGTTCGAGGGGCCTGCTCTTTCGAGCTTACAATCTAGGAGGGAGGGGATAGTGGCACAGGGGGAGGTGGCTGTGGGGGATGGAGTGGTAGGAGGAGTGGAGGAGATCGGCAGTTAGGTGAGGGTGGGGTAGGCTTCCCTGAAGAGATGGGTTTTCAGGGTGCGCCTAAAGGTGAGGAGGGTAGGTGACAGTCTGATGGATTGGGGTAGTGAGTTCCAGAGGATGGGGGAAGTCCTGGAGAAGTCCTGCAGTCGGGCGTGGGAGGAGGAGACCATGGAGCTAGAAAGTAGGAGGTCTTGTGAGGAGCGAAGAGTACGTGTTGGGTTGTATTTGGGTATCAGATTGGTGAGGTAGTTTGGGGCAGCGTTATGAATGGCTTTGTACGTCAATGTTAGTAGTTTTAATTTAATGCGTTGGGCAATCGGAAGCCAATGGAGGGAATGACAGAGGGGGGTGGCAGATGCGGAGCAGTTGGTAAGGTGGATGAGTCTGGCCGCTGAGTTCAGGATAGACTGAAGAGGGGATAGTCTGCGATGAGGTAGGCCGGTGAGGAGGGAGTTACAGTAGTCCAGACATGAGATAATAAGGGAGTGAACGAGTTGTTTAGTAGTATCTGGGGTTAGGAACGAACGTATTTTGGAGATGTTGAGGAGGTGGAGCCTGCATGAGTTTGCCAGTGATTTGACATGGGGTTGGAAGGACAGATTTGAGTCTAGAGTGACACCTAGGACTTTGGCTTGCGGGGTGGGACTGATGGTGGCGTTGTTGGTCGTGATGGAGAGGGTGGGGGGTGCGGGCTGGGGGGAAAATTAGGAGCTCGGTTTTACATTTTTTACAATTTTTACATTAGGGACATATATATGCAGCCTCTTGCCATTAAAGTCCACCCTCTGAGAGGCCACATGTATGCGTACAGCTAGCGGGAACAGGTTAATGTACATGAAGACGGCCATATCTTTGTCAATATATCTGCAGGTTCCGCTTCCTGTTTTGCAATGCTTTGCATTGGTTGCACTTTACTGCTCCCTATCACGATGCAAGTCTATGCGTTGGTACAAACTGTGTGGCAGATCTTATCTCAGCAATTGTTGGAAAAACAGCTTTACTGTAGTTGCTAATGTAGCGTGTCCCCAGGGGGTAATCTACAAACCTCTATATTTAAAACAAAAATTATAGAACAGCAAGCATCTAAAATTATTTAAAATGAATACTTTAATAGCTCAAACATGTACTCTCTTGAAATATATTATCCTTTCCTTTGAGGACAGGTAAAATGATGTTAAAGTATTATTATCAGGTGTTGACAGGGGCGGACTGACCATTTGGAAGCTCGGGCACTGCCCGAGGGCCTGGGGTCAGTAGGGGGCCCCATGAGATGCTCCTGGTACCTTTTTCATAGGCTTTTTTGAGTTTGGGCAAGGACACAGGGGTCCCATGATCCCCTATTGCCCGGGGGCCCCATGAGTTGTCAGTCCGCCCCTGGGTGTTGATTTATTAAAAATGACACAGTGACTCAATATATATCATATAGTAACAGAGATCTTGACTTCTTGCTCTTTACCTTTCTGGGCTGTGTCGTTTCCCATTGCCATTGACCTCCATGAGCAGCTCAGAGGAATCAGATGGGGATGATGTATTGGTGTTGAGAAGCAGATGTTCATGTTGTGCCAAGTACTGAGATGGAGTCTGCTTGGCTGTGCGAGCACAGTGCAGTAATTCCCTCTGGAGAAGCGGCAAGTTGGCCTAGAGAAAAAACAAAACAAAATGGTATCAATTAAAACCAAGAGCTGCCACAAAACAACCAGTTCAGGATGTGGCTGAAACACCCACCTTGAGGAATGGGATGACAAAGGGTCGGAGAGGAAAATTGGTGGCTTCCTGGAGCTTGCAATGAAATTCTTCTATGGTTATAGTTGAGTTCTGGGTTATGGAAAGAAGAAATAATAAGTCAAAAATTATTTTACAGCAAGAGGTGCTTGTTTTTGTTCAAATTACGCTGGGCTCATCTTTTTCCTAGTTTACATTTCAAATCAAAAGTTCAAGGCTTGGACAGAGTTGGAAAGGGTGGTGACCAGTGTCACCAGGACATGAGGTGAAGGAAAATCCAAAAAATAAACGTCATTGACAACGGAGAAGAGGGGACAGCTCCTAACTATTCCCCACTCTTCCTAATACAATCCCACAGGATTTATATAGTGTCAAAAGTTTGCACAGCACTTATATGATAAAGAAAGAGTGCAATACAACAAAATTCAAGAGGGTTAGAAGGCCTTGCTCATGAAAACTTACAATCTAAAAGGGAAGGGCAAGTAATAAAAAATGAGGATGAGTTGATGAAGAAAGTAAACGTTCAGTTGTTCAGACAGTGTTAGAATAGGCTTCCAGAAGAGATGAGTTTTCAGGAATTTCTTAGAGGTGGACAGTGTAGGACACAGCCAGACAGGGGTAGGGAGTTCCAGAGGATGGGAGAGGCTCTGGAGAAATACTGAAAGCAATTGTAGGAAGAGGTTAAAAAAGAGCTAGAGAGCAGGAGGTCATGGGAGGAGTCAGGAGTATGGTTTGGATGATATTTTGAGACAAGGTTAGTGATGTACATTGGGACATATTTGTGGATGGCTTTGTATGGTGTTGTTGAATTTTATTTTTTGAGTGAAGAAAGTAGAGGGATTGGCAGGGAGGAGTGGTTGGTAAGGTGGATGAGAGTCTGGCAGCAGCATTCATGGTAGACTGAAGGGGAGATATCTAGTGTAGAGATAGTCCTACAAGGAGGAGTTGAAATAGTCAAGCCAAAACAACGGAGTGTATTAGTAGCCTGGCGGTGCCATTGTTAAGGAGGGGCATGCTCTGGAAATGTTATGGAGGTAAAAGGCAACAAGATTTTGACAGTGTTTTGATGTGGGGTTCAAAGGAAAGATAAGAGTTCAGGATCACATCGAGCACCCTGGCCTGAGGGTAGGGATGGATATTTGTGCTAAAGGTGGTGATATTGCCCTCACAACCTATAATATAGGTTCCCATGGTATTTTGCACTGTATGTTCTGTATTTCTCCCACTCTGGCACTGAAATTTCCTCCCTTGCTGTCAAGCACACTTACCACCAAAGCAAGTACAAGGGTCCGGACTTTCTCTCCAATCTCAGGGGAGATGTCATTGCCAAACTGCTGCAGAGTGGTGAGGAACCTCTTGAGTTTGCTGAGCTGTCTCACCCCACAGGTAGCCGGTAGTTGCTGATTAGCCAGAGAGGATGAAGATGAGGAGGAAGGTCCATTGCTGGAACGCTGCGGAGGGGATGGAGCTCCATTCAGTAAAGAAGGAGAATGGTTCATGCCATTTGAAACTGAGGAATAATAAGAGAGATACTGATTAGTTTTGTGTGCAGAGTATTCATCAAATGAGCAGGGCAGAAAAAGCTGACAAGTAGGTGGCATGAAGATATCACAAGTAAAAATAAATTAGCATTGGACTATGGCAGTTGTATCCATAGTATTTCAAATTCTAACTCAGATGTCCAGTAAGAAATAGGATTTCTAACTAGAGTTGGGACTATAGTGGTTGCAGAAGATGCAGCAAAGCTGGAGTAAGAGGGCTCAAACACTAGAACCAATCCTTTTTACCAGCTACATCCTCATAGTACTAGTAGGCTTATAAGAACTCAAAAAGTGTAACTTTGTCACTTTAAAACAGAAAGTGTATTAGGACAACAGAACACCCCCCCCCCTTTTAATTTCCATATCAAAGAGTGGTCAGTAGTCCACAAAGAGAACTAGGAATAATGATAACTGATAATAGTCAGCAGAGGAGGAAAGTACAGAAAATTATCAACTCACAAGCAGGGGCGGACTGACAACTCATGGGGCGCCTGGGCAATAAGGGATCATGGGGCCCCTGTGTCCTTGCCTAAACTCAAAAAACCCTATGAAAAAGGTACCAGGGGCATCTCATGGGGCCCCCTACTGACCCCGGGCCCTCGGGCAGTGCCCGAGTTTCCAAATGGTCAGTCCGCCCCTGCTCACAAGATTTCTGGCAGGCTCAATATAATATTTTTTTCCTTTATCAAACATATATAACAAAACACTTTCAATGGCACTTGTAAGAAACCAAAATAGAGCAAAAGAGAGGTTCATGGTTGAGTTTTACATATACTCTAAGTTAAAAGAGTTTTCTGCCACTTTATAAAAACTAATACATTTGTAAACTGTTTTTATATATTTTTCACTATTATAACATTTTATTTTATAAATAAAAACTTAAAACACCCAAGACATAGGATTCAAAGGTCATGGGTGTCAGGAACCATGAACCAGGCAGATACAGAAAGTGCAGTTAAAATCACACCTTTAATGAAATAGCAAATATAACCTAGATCAGGAATGTAGTCAAAACAGAAGCCAGGATTTGGATGCCAGAGCGGGAAATCAGATGAACCAGAGTCAGGAAACCAGAAATCAGTGTAGTCAGGAGCCAAAAATCAGTAAACAGGAATCGGAAGAGAAGTCAGCCAGACCGAGTTGTACACAGGAACACAGTGGAGATCATAGACCACACAATGATAAGGAGGAAATGAGCTAAGCTGCTAAAATAGCAAAAAGGGCTGGCTGTAGGCTGGACTAATGAGGCAGGTGATGGTATCCAGGTGAGTCACTGTAGAGACAACGTGTGGCTGGTAATTAACCAACAGCTGAGCAGTTTCTGAGCACTGAAAGAAAAGAGCTGCCCGTTATCCACCTCTCGTCCGGCCATTGTATATAAACGGCCAGACGGTGGCAGTGCAGGATCAGGTGGCCGTTTATAAATGGCCTCCCCGCCACTTGCTTGTGTGCGCTCCCTGGGAGTGCACAGCACTGCGATCCAGTGCCCGCTGTGTCCTCCGGACACAGTGAAACACCGATCGTCGTACAGGACCTCTGTGTGAGGTCCCGATCGTGTGATCACTTCTGACATCATTGCTTACTACGTGTGAAATCTGTGAATGATCACAGAGGTCACATGGTACAAGGCTATTCACAACAGTCTTGTACCATGTGACAAGCTGTGAGCAATCACAGCTCACACAGTAGTTCTCAATGGCTGCAAGAATGCAACCAGAGAGAAGGAGAAATGATTGCTTTTATAGCCTTTATGGGTGTAAAAGCAATCAGTGGAAAAAAAAAAAAAAAATCTTCATCACCCCCCCCACAAGTAGTACAATGTCACTATGGTGACACTGTACTGCTAGGGTGACAGTATGTAAAAAAAACTAAACAAAACAAATATTATAAATAAATAAAATAAAAATGTAAAAAAAAAGTTAAAAAATTATAAATTTTGGTTATAAACTAATTTGGGTTATTTTTTTATTACCAAAAAGATAACAGAATAAATTTTGGCCAAGCTTTATGATGAAATATTATTTATTTGCAAAATTGTATAAGAAAATCCATTTTTTTTTCAAAATTTTTGTACTTTTTCATTTACGTAGCAAAAAAAATAAAAAAAAATCCCAGTGGTTAATAAATACCACCAAAATAAAGCTTTATATGTCTCAAACAAAATGCTAAAAAATTCATATGGGTACAGTGTTTCATGACCGCGCAATTGTCATTCAAAGTGTGATAGCACTAAAGGTTGAAAATCGGCCTGGACAGGAAGGGGGTAAAAGTGTCCGGACATGAAGTGGTCACGTAACAGGAGCCCAGCCCTGATACTCGTTTTTTTAAAGACATAGCACAACAGAAGCCGATTTCTTTCTGTATCTCTCTTTCTGAGTGAAAAATAAGCTCAGAGATGGAGGAGGAAGGGAAGAGCCATTGCACTGACTCATTCACTTGTGTATATTAGGACTCATGCACATGGCCAATAAGGATTATATGCTGCTTAGTTCAGTGTATTTCTAAGTTGGGTCTCAGGTGTTCCTGGATCAGCCACTGACAGGAAGCTCCCGTTGACGCAGACAGTTTGCATCCAGGAGCACCCATCCAACAGGTCATGTGCAAACAGCTGCGGCAGTGTCAGCCTGTCAATAAAGTGTTACTAAGCCCAGGACCCTGCATTCACTATATCTGGTCTCCCACAGTACACACAACATGGAAATGCAATTATTTTAGTAGATATAAACTGCTAAATACCTTTTCTCATCAGCAGTTAGAGAAGTCTTTTGACTTCTATCAGTGTCCAGCTCAGCACTGGGTAAAGCTTGTAGGAGTTTTCATTCTCCAGTGACACCAATACAGTGATCAGTGTTAATAAAATGCACTGACACTTTACTAATTGCACTGGGCAGGAAGGGGTTAACATCTGGAGCAATCAAAGGGTTAACTGTGTGCTGTTTTACTTTGGGCTGTGCACAGCCATTCAAAGCAGTGTGCACGAGCTGACAGGGAGGAAAACGATTTTGCTTAAAAACAGTTCTCCCCCCTGCCAGAGATGCTCGGCAATCACCGGGCGCCAGCGAGCATTCACCAGCCGGGACCCAGTGATTGACAGCAGCGGTGCGCTTAGGGCATGTGTGCACCCCCTACCCAGAAATGCAAATTCACATATATATACGTGATTTTGCACAATTGTGCTGCCCTGTAGCAGTATTTCTACTATGGGGCGGACGGGAAACGGTTAAAGTCCCAATGGCTGAGGTTCTTTTTGGTACAGCTATAAATTCTAGGGATGTTGGCATCTATTATTTATTTATTACAGGTACTTATATAGCGCCATCAATTTGTATATATTGTACATTCACATCAGTCCCTAACCCTCAAGGGATGTACAATCTGAGGTCCCTAACTTACATCCATACATACACATACTAGGACCAATTTAGACAGGAGTCAATTCACCTACCAGCATGTCTTTGGAGAGTGGGAGGAAACTGGAGTACCCGGAGAAAACCCACGCAGGCACAGGGAGAACATGCAAACTCCAGGCAGGTGGTGCCTTGGCTGGGATTCAAACCAACAATCTTAGTACTGCCAGGCAGAAGTGCTAACCATTTAGCCACTGTGCTGCCCAATTGCTATTAGAAATAACTCTTGGTCATTTTCTCTAAGTCACTGATCCTGAACAAGTAAGCGGGATCAGCACCCAGAACAAGGTTTCAGATATGTACCTTCTGCCTTCTTGGCCGAAAAAACACCAAAAAGTACTGAAATCTGAGGATCATTCTAACAGCCAAGCTACTATTATTTTTCGGAAGATTTTGGCAGTAGCAGCCCACATATTCCCTTCATCACAGGTTTCTTATAAAAGTCTCTGGTCTTTCTGGGTTAAAAAAAAACACCAACCAAAAAGCACCAACCAAGCTAGTAAAATTGGGAAGTTTATGATTTTAAAATGTCTCCATTCATGAGTCATGATACGGTAAGGTTAACGTTGAATCATCCACAGAACGCAAGCAAACAAAAAGCCAAATAAAACAGTGCGTACTCGGGGTGTTTTCACAATCGTGGAGTAGGTGTTCAATGTCTCCTAAAAGCCAAGTCCACACAAAACCGATTTTTATGCTTTAGGCGGACAGCAGAAAATGAAATAAACCATCTGCTAGTTACAGCTACTGAGGACACGTGTAGGGAACTTCTACGCTCTGGCTTTTATATGCAGTCGTTATTTACGGGGGGGGGGGGGGGGTCACATACCCCAGGTATAGTCATAACAGGGGCAACAATAATACAGCAGGAGAGTGAGGCTTGGCACAGACTATTCATTTTGTTGTTTTTTACATTCCTCCTTCCACATAAAGAAGGTGAATGAAGGAATGCCTCCACTAGCCAGGACATTCAGGGGCGGACTGACAACTCTTGGGGCCCCCGGGCAATAGGGGATCACGGGGCCCCTGTGTCCTTGCCCATACCCAAAGAAGCCTATGAAAAAGCCAATAAAAGGTACCAGGGGCATCTCATGGGGCCCCCTACTGACCCTGGGCCCTCGGGCAGTGCCCTAGTGCTTGAATGGTCAGTCTGCCCCTGAGGACATTGTACTCTGACAGCGGGACTTGCCACTGTCACAATACACTGATCAGCAGCTGAAGATGACTGGGGGCAGTACCCAGTACATCCCAACTCACAAACATCCCCTTGCAGCTTTGCAATGGTTTTGGCAGTACTTAGCCTTTACAAGGGAAGCCATAAACATTCTGGATACTTTTTAAATTATTTGTCTTTTACATTTACAAGTCCTTAACCACTTCAGCTCCAGAGGATTTACCCCCCTTAATGACCACGCCTCTTTTTGCTACTCGGCGCTGCACTATAAACTGATAATTGCGCGGTCATGCAATGCTGCACCCAAACAAAATTTACGTCCTTTTTTTCACACAAATAGAGCTTTCTTTCGGTGGTATTTGATCATCTGTGCGCTTTTTATTTTTCACGCTATAAACAAAAAAAGGCCAAACATTTTGAAGAAAAACAATATTTTTTACTTTCAGCTATATAAAATATATCATAAACTCAAAGTTGGTTATAAATTTAGGCCAAAATGTATTCTGCTATATGTTTTTGGTAAAAAAAATCCCATTATGTATATTGTTTGCTTTGTGTGGAAGTTATAGCGTCTACAAACTATGGTATAGATACTGCAATTTACGCCATTTTTCTGCTATACAGCACTGTGCTAGTTTAACGGACAATTGCGCGGTCATGCAATATGGTACATAAATGGAATTTACATCCTTTTTTTCCCCCACAAATTGAGCTTTCTTTCGGTGGTATATGATCGCCTGTGCGGTTTTTATTTTTTGCGCTATAAAAAAAAAGGCTGACAATTTTGAGGGAAAAAAAAACAATATTTTGGACTTTTTGCTATAAAACATGTCCAGTAAAAAAAAATGCAAAAATCAAATTTAGTCATAAATTTCTGCCAAAATGCATTCTGCCACATGTCTTTGCTAAAAAAAAAAAACCAATACGTGTAAATTAATTGGTTTACGTGAAAGTTATAGCGTTTACAAATGGCGGGAAAGATACAGGGATTTTTAAATTTTTTTTTATTCTAATAATGGCGGCAATCAGCGAATTATGGCGGCGATCAGTGACTTATGGCAGCGACCAGCGACTTATGGCGGGACTGCGGCGGGCATTCTGACATTGGGGGGTACTGACTTGGGGTCACTGACATCCCCAAAAACACTAATACAGTGATCAGTGCAAAAGAAAAACACTGACACTGTACTAATGGCACTGGGGAGGAAGGGGTTAACTTTATTTTGCAGGGAAGGGTTATCTGTGTGAGGGGGAGTGTTTTACTAGGGGGAGGGGGTGTGTACTGGACGGGACAAGGCTGATCGAGAGAGAGAAACTCTTCTTTCTCGATCAGCTCGTCCTTGAGCTGTCAGGGAAGTGACAAACAGCACAGCTACTGCAGCTGTGCTCTCTGTCACTGTTTGCCGCCGATCGCCGGGAAACAGCCGGTAAGGACCGGCTGTGACCCGGCAACTGACATCCGCGGCGGTGATCGGCGGGACAGATAGGGCGGCGACGCGCCTCCTATCTGTTTACAAAACACACATTTTAAAATGTGGTTTTGCCTGCCCGTATTTCTACAGTGGCAGGGCGGCAAGTGGTTAAAGTGGTAATAAACCCAAAAACAAATCCTGATGTAAGGGGTGGACTCTGATGGAGACCCAAATGTAAAGGGGAATCATATATTTATTAAAAAAAACATTTTTTTTTTCGGTCCGAGTATTTGTAAATCTTTCAATGCTGCCCTTAAAGTGTTACTAAACCCACAACAGAAACATCAGTCTGTATATGCAGTAAAGGAAGCACATTATACTCACTGTGGAACCTTAGGGGTTAATCCTCCACATTGTGTAAAAAGGCTGTTTGATCTTCTCTGATCCTCCCCTTATTCTACTGTCCCAAATCCATCTACTGATAGTAAAGAGCTTTAGGAGTCACTCTGCACATGCTCAGTTTAGTGGTATGGCTAAAGAGCTTTTTTTTCTTCGGAAGGGTGCATGTGATCGGTACAGGGCTAATCAGCGCTGTCCAGAGGGTCAGGAGTTATGTAGCCTCACAGGACAGTCAGAGCGGAATGAAAGCTCCTCCTACAAGCTTTAACCAGTGCTCAGCTGAACACTGATAGAAGTCACAAGACTGCTATATACTGCTGATGAGAAAAGGTATTTAGCAGTTTATAGTTACCAAAATAATTGTATTTTGGCAACTTGGACACCCTCCCCTCTCATTCACTTTTCTCTTTTTTCCTTTCTTTCTCTCCTTTTGGAACGGGAGCATCATACTGCTTTGTTTCGTTCTTCATATACTGTAGCTCTGTTAGGTTTTGATGGTTTCAGTGGATTTCAGACATGTGCTAATGTGTTGTTCAACCTGTTCACATTCTCCAATCACAAAATTGTTGTCAATATTTGTATATTGCACCACTTTCCCTATAAGTGGGACATGTTCATTTACTGTATGTTTTTCTATTATTTATTTATTTTAGGTACTTATATAGCACCATCCATTTACGCAGCACTTTACATATATTTATATATATATATATATATATATATATATATATATATATATATTTTGTACAGTCCCTAACCCTCAAGGGTTGTACAATCTAAGGTCTCTAACTCACATTCATACATACACATACTAGGGCCAATTTAGACAGGATCCAATTAATCTAGCAGCATGTCTTTGGAGTGTGGGAGGAAACCGGAGTACCCAGAGGAAACCCACGCAAGCACAGGGAGAACATGCAAACTCCATGCAGGAGGCGCCATTGGTCAGGAATCAAACCCATGACCCATTTACTGCAAGGCAGATGTGCTAACCACTAAGCCACTGTGCCACCCACTATATGTTTTATGTTCAATTTGTACCTGCAACATATGTGCAACAAATGATTTGTATATTCGACAACCTTTATTAAAAACATTGAAATATAAAATAATTGTATCTCCATGTCCTGTGTACTGAGGGAGACCGGATATAGTGAATGCAGGGTCCGGGGTTTAGTAATACTTTAAGGAAATGTTTTGAGACTCCAGGCTTAGAGGTAAGCTCAGTTGATTTGCAGCACTGGGGTCTTAGGTTCAATTCTTATTTGAAGTGCTATCTTGTGTGGTGTTCATGTGTGATTCTCCCAGGTGCTCTAATTTGTTCCCACAGCTACTCAAACCGATCCAAAGAGTGTATGTACCCAACTAGACTTGATATTTTGATGTCATTTAGGGTTAGGACAGGGAGAGATGTGGATGGTGCAACATAGTCTATAAATGAAAGTATATAAATGCAGCAAAAAAAAAAAAAAAAGTATACAAAGTGCAATATACGTACGTGAGGTGGGTGGAAACGATACAGGCCTTGGGCCAGATGGATTCACTGGTGGCAGAGGTGCCATGGTGGGAGGTGAGGATCTTGAATGAATCTTCACTTCCATGGGGGACCCGGGCATTGCTGGCACCCTCTTGTCTCCAGGAACTACAATGTGACAGAGAGGGAACAGTATGAATACAGAGACTGCTAGATACACACTCTATTAAAGCTAAAGATTATTGTACATTTTGCCTTTCCTGGTTCCTCCTTCCCCCCACCATTGACATAATGAAATGATTAAATAAAACCTTTACATTGTGAGAAGCTCAGAGTGTGCAGTGAAATCAGAGTAAGCAAATTTAGTACAACAGGGAAGCCTGTACAACTGGGCAAGACTGAAGGGAAGGGTGGAAATCAGCTTTAATGGTCTACTTTTACTGTGCCAAGACCAGCATTTACCATTTCCTTCTTTTTAATGATGTACTTTAAACCAGGGCCGGGACAAGGGGTGGGCAGGAGGGAAAACCACCCAGGGCGCAGGGTGCCGCCTCACTACATGCAAGCTACAGATCAGTGGTTAGCAACCAGGGGCCACTGTTCATATCTGTACTGACAGCTATTGCTCTCACACCATCCTCCAATATACATAATCTCCACCCCATCTGCCCAGAGCTAAACCAAAAACATACTGTGCATGTGCAACTGCCTTCTGGCCACAAGAAAGAAGTGATTAGCCGTACAGAGGCATTGCGCACTCCATGCCAACCATGGGATGTTGGAGTGGAGCAAGGGGCCAAAGAATGGGCACAAGGTGGTACACTCATTCTATGGCATATATTAGAAGGGGGGTAGAGGCTCTGCATCCTGGCCCTGGGCACTTTATGAACCTGTCCCGGTACCCATTTAAACAAATATACTGTATGAGTAATTTATTGCTATAGACCAGGGTTCCTCCAGAGGTTACTAGGTGTTCCCTGAGCAATAAGCAAGTTCTGCCCAGATAAGTTCCCACTGACACCACTGATCTTTTTAGCTATCTGAAAGGGGGGGAATCCCTCCTAATGGCCATAAGTGTAAGAAAAATTCCTCCCACTGACCATCACACTACGTATCATGAGCTGTAGGTATAGTAGGTTTTAGCAGAAGTTTCCTGAGACCCAAAAGTTATTACAAGGGTTCCTCCATGTTGAAAAGGTTGAGAAAGGCTGCTATACACATTCAATATCTTTTGCAGCTTGACCTGCCTACACACAAGTAGCTCAAGTCACACAAGCCTTCTAAATTGGCTACAGACAACCAGATCTGCAACGGAGAGTTGGCTATCCACATCAATGAGATATATCTGATTGATATCATGTTACAGCCATATTGTGTGGATGACAGTTGAGGTTTGTATGAGGACCAGATGCCTACATCTTGTACCCAGACCTGGATGCCTCCATAGACAACATAGGTCATAGCCTCAGGTGGCAGAGCTGTTGGGGTGGCACTCATCCAATCGCTGGGGTAGAAGGCTAAGCACAAGACAGTAGGATTAGTGGTAAGAAGTTTAAATACACTTCTTCTTCCACCCATATCCTAGTGGTTATCTCTTGCTCCCAAAAATGAGGGCACTGCCAACATTGGCTGACATTCATAGGTAAGGTCCACATTATTTTACCAAAAACCGTTCTGTTCATAAAGCTTTATCCTGTATTGTTTTGACTACTTTACCAACACAGTCATCAGGAATAATGCTTTTCAGACAAGGATTGGATTAACCTAGGTCAACCTAACCATGTCAAAGCACATTATTCAAACTTTGGATGTTTCTAATAGTTCTTCCAATTTTCTTGGCCAAATAATGGCCCATCCACAGACTTCAGTATATTCTGTATTTAGCCACTTTACCAAGCATATTTTAATTATAGAATTTCCAGAAACAGAGTTTTTACTTGATGAAAGCCTATACAAAAAGATCACTCAAAATTTAAAAAAAATATCAAAATCTGTAGAGAAGAAGAATCCATTTTGGAATGGATCTGACCACAGAACAGGCTGAAATTTGGTTGCTATAGGCTGTCAAACATTCTGCGTAGGCCTCAGTTAATAGGGCTTAGGGTCACAGAGAAATATTCAGTACACAAACAAATAATGCCCCATGAAAAAAAGGACTTGAAATCTTGAACTAAAATTCCCTGACTGTGAGCTTTCCAGAATCCTCTCTGTGTTTTTCCCTGAGCGCTGTGGTAAAACCACTTTCCATCTGTTTCCCGTTTCTGCCAAGCTGAGGTTTTCCTCTGATATTAACCTTTACAGTGCCAAAATGAAAATAGTGCCCAGGATCAACGCATCCAGATTGTCATAAAAAGCTGCAATTGCCAGATATACATTTACTGGACACAAAAAAAGAGCTGCATATAAAGATTGTTAATGCAACAAGACCTAAAAGTCAGAAGTTTCTAGGATACTTGTTGGCAATTTAAAATATTGTCAAGACAGTTTGTTGTTGAAGAAGTATGCTTAAAGAGGAACTCCCTCACGTGTTTGATCTCCTTTTACCCTTTTTTGAGTTATACACAATTCACATACTCACCCACCCAGCAAATCCAGTGTTGTCCTGCTATGATCTACCACACTGCTGTCACACATTGGGTCCCACACCGCCATCTTTATTTCTGATGACATTGAGAGCTGACTGTCTCTGATGACAGGCTGCCACGTCAGCCCTCCTCTGGCTGCCTGTACGGAACCTGAAGCATCCTGGGATATGTTACATGCATCATCCAGGAGGCTACAGGGCAGAAAAGATGACATTCTAACCTAGGCAAGAATTGTGTCTGGCAGGAGGGATGGTCAGAAAATAGGAGAAAGAGCAATAAACAAAAAAAATTGGTGGTGTTTTTGATTGTGGGAGGAGAGGGGTGCAATGATGCCTAGTACACCTACTGAGTGATTCTGAGAGGGAAACTATATGCCCCTCCTCAGTTGCAGAGCCAGCACAAGGGGAGAGCAGGAGGGGCAGCTGCCCTGGGTTCTGTGGTATCATGTGAACAGGAGGGAAGGGAGCACCACTTCGAGAATTCCTGCCACTCACAATAAGATGACAAGATGCTTAGCATGGGAAGTGAGAGGCGGAAGCAAGTACGCAGAAGAGTCCTGCCACTGCAGCAGTCCGTCATTGGGACTGTCATATTGGGTGTTATGTAGCTGGTGAGAAGCCAAAGTGCTGAGAGGGCTTCCCTTGTGGCTGAGTGCAGAATTCCCCTGAAGGTAGGAACAGGGGATGCTCGGCCCAGAGAAGCATGGGTTGCGAGCTGTCTGGAGCCTGAAGAGCTGGGATGAAGAGCTGCAGAGCTGATGTTCCCCAGACATGGCAGGCAGAACTTGGCAGCAGGTATATGTTCCCCAGATATGGCAGGCAGAACTTGGCAGCTTCTGGATGCCTATACGGGCTTGTTTTTCTTGGAATCTGTGAAAGAATATTTGCAAGAGCTTAAGGACATGCACATTGCTTGTAGGTTCCCAGGAATTTTCTTCTGATGAATACCCCTTCCACTTAATAAGGTACTGTACTTGCCTTCCCCTTTTCCAACAGTCCAGAATGGATTCCACTGCAAATTCTATTTCTTCTCCAACCAAAACTGGAGCAGGAGGAGGCTCTTCCCTGCCAGGAAAAAGAACTGGATACAGCTGGTTTCAGCAAGGACACATAAAAAACTGGGTGAATTTTATAAGAACTCGGCAGTGCTAGCTCGAATGCCCCAGGATTCACTTCTCTCTTGATTTCAAATGGACCAATTCATTTTGGCCCCAATTTTCGAGAGGGACAAGAAAGTTTTGGGTTTGCTGAAGAGAACCATACCTTATCCCTGGCTTTCAGAACAGGATTTCCTCTCCTCTTTTTGTCATAATACTTCTTGTAGTCTTCCTGTGCCTTCTGTATGGCACCTTGGAGCACCTGATAGTTTGAATGAAATTCAGCCTGTTCTGGACTGCAGGAACTGGTGCATCAGGAATGACATTTGGCAAAAAGCTGGGGTGAAATCCATAATTTGGTAGCAGCGTGTACAGAATTATTGTAAGCAAACTCGGCACAGGGAAAAAGGGACATCCAGTTGTCCTGAGAAAAGGTACAGAAACATTGGAGGTACTGCTCCAGATTTTGATTGTTTATTTCCTTTTGACCACTTCTTTGGGGATGGTATGCCCCCCCCCCAGATCCAACATCGTAAAGATCTGAGCTGTTCGGAACCTCTGGAAGAATTTCGGAATGAGAGGGAGTGGATATTGGGTGTGATCTTTTTCTCAACAAAGAAGATGCCAGCACCAGCAGGGGAAGAGGAAGGATGAATAAATCCCTTTTCCAGGGACTCCATATTGCCTTAAAGCTTCAAGTTCTTTCTCTGAAAGAGGGAAGATGCGTCCGAATGGATTTCAGTCCTGGGGAGTAATTTGATGGGGCAATGATAAGATCGATGGGGTGGAAGGATATCAGCCTTTTTCTTGTCAAAAAGGTATAGAAACTCATAATATGTGGGTGGAACATTCTGGTTGGCACTGGGTACAGGCTGCACGGTCAAACAACTTGTGTAGTTTCTGGATTCAGGAGGAGAGAAGCAGTGCTGAAGACAGTAAATGGGCGTGAAGGAAATTTCCCTCTTGGCCAAATCAATCTGTGGATTATGGGCTCATAGCCATGGGAGGCCCAAGATGACTGGAAACATGGGTGAACAAAATACATCAAAGCAGATGAATTCCTGATGGCCCAAGTCTGTCAAGGTGAAAATTGTTATACAGTTGTGGCCAAAATTATTCAACCCCCAATGCTGTAAAGGGGTTTAGGGACTATAGTGTAACATTTGGAATTGTATTCAGAATCAAATCCTACAAGGACGTTGTAACTACCCAAATGCAACTAAAATGACCATCAATTGTTTATGTAATACAGTAGTAAATGGTTCTTATGTGGTTTCTTCATTGCCACAATTATTCAACCCCCTTAAAAAGACTACCACTCTGAAGAACAGAGGTTCATACAGGTGCTTTCCATCAGGTATTGAAAACACCTGTGGATGTCACGAGCAGCAATCAAGCATAATAAGCACCAATTAGGCAGCTTTAAAATGACTGTGATACTCAGCTCCTTCTAGACATTTA